ACAACATTTACTAGTGAGGCCCTAAAATGTTACTCTAATCATCATTAAGGTACTTTTACTAAAGAATTTAACAGCCAAATGGCAGTGGCTCATGTCTATAATCCTAGCTACTCAGGAGGCTGAGATCTGAGGATCATGGTTCAAAGCCAGCCTGGGCAATAAAGTCCCAGAGTCCCTTATCTCCAATTAACCACCAGAAAACAGGAAGTGGTGCTGTGGCTCAAGTGGTAGTTCTGTCCTTAAGCTGAAGAGTTGAGGGACAGCACCAAGACCCAAAGTTCAAGCCACACAACCAATCAAAAAAAAAAAAAAGAAAAGAATGAAACATGGCCAGGTGCTGGTGGCTCAGGCCTGTCTATAATTCTAGCTGCTCAGGAGGCTGAGTTTGAAGAATCACTGTTCAAAGCCAGCCGAGGCAAAAAAAGTCTATGAGATTCTTATCTCCAATTAATCACAGAAAAGACTGGAAATGCCACAGTGGCTCAAGTGGTAGAGTGCCAGTCTTGAGCAAAAGGAGCTCAGGGATAGTGCCCAGGCCGAGTTCAAGCTACAGAACTGGCAAAAAAAAAAAAAAGAATCAAACATATATAAATAAACTAAGTATCCATTTAGTTAAAATACCCTGTAAAGGACAGCAGTGAAGTCTGAGCAGCAAAAATTTACGTAAAAATTCCTAAAACCTAGGTTATTGGTCTTATTCTTCTGGGGGAAGTACAGCTTGAATTCAAGACATTGGGATGCTAGGCAGGCACTCTATGGTACTAAGTCTTTATTTCAAGCCCAGATTTATCTATTTTTATAAAAAGTACATTGACAAATTAAAAATAAAACCCAGTGCTGGTGGCTCATGCCTGTAATCCTAGGAGGCAGTGCCCTGAGAATTGGTGTTCAAAGCCAGCCCAAGCCACAAGTAGCAAGCCTTGAGCAAAAAAGCTCACGGTCAGTGAACTAGGTCTTGAGTTCAAGCTCTAGTACTAGCACCAAAAAGAGGAAAAATATATAGTTCATATATCAAAATATGAAAACAAAAGTATTATTTTAAAAAAGCAGCCAGGAAATAAAATTACCTTCTCCAAGAAGAGATGTTTGTAGGTTTCCATTCCCATGGCATGTTGATCTTTACTTCGAACTTGATTTAAAAACCAATGGAGTGCATCATCATAGCACTCAGAATCTTCCACTAAACAATGCCATAAAATGTCAACTTGTTCTAAACTTAATCCTAGATTAAAAACAATAATGTTATATTTGAGTAACTATAAAAAAGATCCAGTTATGTAACTCCTCTTAGACAGTGTACAGATACATAGGTATTTCATTTATATATCCCAGTAAAAATTTCCTGCCTTCTTTTCTAAATAACTTTGAATTAGGACACATACAATATTTTGGTTCTCATTCAATATATTATTATACCAACAGCCAGAAATAAAAAGAAAATAACTGATAGCGTTTTATAGAAAGGACTTTGTAAGAAATTTCACTAATATGCTTACAAGATAAAAATGTAACTTAAAAATACAGGTAAGTCACCTAAAAACATGCAACCTATGAAGTAATCCAGAAGAGTCAGTAGGTCTAAAAAATCTCCCTAAGTAAGATATTATAATAAAAATTACTAGAAGTAATCTCAAAATTTTAAGTAGTTCAAAGGCTTAGTGATAATACACAAAGAGAATACAATATGCAAAGGCAATTCTCTGAACATAGAAAATAAACAAAATTACTCAAAAATTATTATAAAACATCTTATAAAAACAGTGATTATATTTAAGATATCAATAGGAATCTCACCTATAACAGTGTCTGAAAATTTACTTAAATTTTAAGGCATGAGTAAATCTATTAGTTAACATTAGTTATGGAGGTATGTGTTCATTGCTATATTACACACATATCAAAAGAGATCTTTAATAATAAATTAAAAATCTTACTGAAATGATCAGGTGATCCCAGAGTTGAAAATACACAAGTCAAGAATTGAAGTCGAACTTGAACTTCAGCACTATGGCTGTACCTATAAGAGGTAATTAAAATAATTATATGGAAAAACTCATTTAATAATTTTCATATATGTATTAATCCTAACATACCAAAAAAGCAAAAATCTGTAAGAAATCGTAAGTACTAATTATTTCAATTACCTAACTTTGGTTATGCAAAAAAATTGCATAAAGCTTTAAAGTTTGCTAGTTAAAAGATTAGAGAAATCTCTGTACCATAACAGAACACTTTCAAATTTGGTATTATGTACATAAACGGGGTTGCAGGCATAGCTCACATGGTAAACTGCTTCCCTAAACAGCATAAGGCCCTGAATTAAATTTCCAGTATCACATCAAAAAGAGAGGAAAAAGGAAGGAGATTTGCAAAAAAGGGGAGAGAAGAGGGGGGAGAAAAAGGTAGGGGAAAGGAGAAAGAAGGGGAAAAAAAGAGGATGAAGCCAGGTGCTGGTGTCTCACACCTGTAATCCTAATTACTCAGGAGGCTGAGATCTGAGGATCACATTTTCAAGCCAGTGCACATAGAAAAGTCTGTGAAGCTCTTATCTCCAGTTAACCAAAGAGTTGTGGCTAAAAGTGATAGGACACTACCCTTGAGTGAAAAAGCTCAGGGACAGCACCCAGGCTCTGAGTTCAAGCCCCGCAACTTACCAAAAAATAAAAATAAAAAAGGGAGGAGGAAGAGGAGGAGAGGGAAATGGGGGTAAGGAAGTAGGGAATAATAGAAAAAGGAAAGAGTAGGGAAAGGGAAGGAAAGAGGAAAAAGAAAACAAAGTAATAATATCATTTTAAAATTTTATAATAAAAGCTGGGCGCTAGGGCTGGAAAGGTGGCTTAGTGGTAGAGTGCTTGCCCTGCATGCATGAGGCCTTGGGTTTGATTCCTCAGCACCACATAAACAGATAAAGCTGGAAGTGGCACTGTAGCTCAAGTGGTAGACTGCTAGCTTGGAGGTGAAGAATTCAGGGACAGTGTCCAGGCCCAGAGTTCAGGCCCCACGAATCACAAAAATAAATAAAAGCTGAGTGCTGGTGGTTCACACCTGTAATCCTAGCTACTCAGAAGACTGAGATTGGAGGCTCTTGGTTCAAAGCCAGCCTGGACAGTGTAAAGTCCCTGAGACTTTATGTCCAATTAACCAGTAGAAAACCAGAAGTGGTGGTGTGGCTCAGAGTGAAAGAGCACTAGTGTTGAGCAAAAGAGCTCAGGGAATGTGTCCAAGACCGGAGTTCAAGCTCTGCAGCCCCAAAAACAATTTTTTTAAAAAAATTTTTTTTGGTTGGTTGTGGGGCTTGAACTCTGGACTTGGACACTGTCCTTCAGATCTTCAGCTCAAGGTAAGCACTCTACCACTTGAGCCACAGCGCCACTTCTGACTTTTTCTATTTTTTTTATTGTAAAAATACCATACAGAGGGGTTACAATTACATGAGCAAGGTAATGAGTACATTTCTTATCAAGCATTGTTGCCTCCTCCTTTGTTTCCCCTTACCATCACTTTTTACCCTCCCATTCCCTCCACCCCTGACTTTTTCTATTTCTGTGGTACTGAGGAATCAAATTCAGGGTCTCACAGATGCGAGGCAAGCACTCTACCACTAAGCCATCTTCCCAGTTTTTAATAGGACATAAATTAGAAATTTAAAGAATCGGGGCTGGGAAGGTGGCTCAGTGGTAGAGTGCTTGCCTTGCATGCCTGAGGCCCTGGGTTGGATTCCTCAGCACCACATAAGCAAAAAGAAAAAATGCCGGAAGTGGTGCTGTGGCTCAAGTGGTAGAGCGCTAGCCTTGAGCTGAAGAGCTGAGGGACAGCGCCCAGGCCCAGAGTTCAGGCCCCACGACCGGACCCAAAAAAAAAAAAAGAAAAGAAATTTAAAGGATCAATCTCAGTCAGGACTCATGTCTATACTATCAGCTAGTTGAGAGGCTAAAACAAGGAGGATCATAGTTCAAGGCTAACCCAAGCTTTACTTCGTAAGATTTCTATCACAACAACTAGTTGCAGTGTCACCTGTCATTCCAGTTAGCAGAACTAATGTTAGGAGGACACCCAGACCAGGTGGGATATTCAAGTCTGCAAGATTTCATCTCAATGGAAGACATTGTGTTAGAGCACTCCCTCCTGTCAGCCTAGCTATGATGGGAAGCTAAAATAGGAGGTTGAACAGTCCAGGTTTTGGCCTAAACAAGAAGACTCTTTCTGACAAATAATCAATGCACCACTTCTGGGCATTTCCTGAGAATTTCACAAACCAGAAAATCACAAAGACACTTGTACATCCATATTTATTGCTGCAGTAATCACAATATCCAAACTATACAAGCAGCCCAGATGCACTGCAAATGTACCTATATAGAATACAATTTAAATGGCCCTGTGGCTCAAGTGGTAGAGCACTATCCTTGAGCTGAAGAGCTGAGGGACAGCGCCCTGGCCCAGAGTTCAGGCCCCATGACCAGACCCCCCCCAAAAAAAAACAATGCAATTTTACCTAACCCTAAGAAAGAATAATATTATGTCATTTGCAGGGAAATGAATCGACCTGAATAAATCATGTTAGGCAAGGTAAGCCAAGCTCAGAGGGATAAATGAAGCATGTTTTCTCTCATATGTAGAAACTAAATCTAAAAATACACTGGGACATAATTAAATTATATACAACACTAGACACATACAGTGAGGAAAGGAGGATACTCAGGAAAGAAACACAAAGGTTCAATGCCTATGTGCCTCTGACATACAAAACACTATTATAAAGGACTCCAAGACATGGAAACAAGAGAATTTTTTTGTTTTTGTTAGTTGTGGGGATTGAAACTTGGGGCCTGGGTACAGGCCCTAAGCTCTTTTGCTCAGGGCTAGCATTCTATCTCTGAGCCACAGCGCTACTTTTGGTTTTGTGGTGGTTAACAGAAATGATAGTCTCATAGACATTCCAGTCTGGGCTGGCTTTGAAACACAATCCTCAGGATCTTCAGCCTCCTGAGTAGCTAGGATCACAGATGTGAGCTACCAGCACCCAGCTTCCATTTTTTTCTTTGTTGCAATTTCTGTTACCTTTCTTTTTGTCTTGCTTAATCTGTCTTTTGGAGAGGTAAACAAATGCAGCAGTGGTAGTCACTAGATATTATGTTGAAAATGAACTATACAACTTTGTAGGTCAGGGGCTGGGAATGTGGCTTAGTGGTAGAGTGCTTGCCTAGCACGCATGAAGTCCTGGGTTCCATTCTTCAGTACCACATAAACAAAAAGCCAGAAGTGGTGCTGTGGCTCACGTGGTAGACTTTAGCCTAGAACAAAATGAAGCCCAGGGACAGTGCCCAGGCCCTGATTTCAAGCCCCAGGACTGGTAAAAAAAAAAAAAAAAAAGGACAACTTGTGGGTAGGATGGAAAGAAAAATGAGTAGTGAGGGAAAGGGTAATATTGTCCATAAAGAAATGAACTCATGGGGGGCTGGGAAGGTGGCTCAGTGGTAGAGCACTTGCCTTGCATACTCGAGGCCCTGGGTTCGATTCCTCAGCACCACATAAGCAAAAAGAAAAAACCCGGAAGTGGCGCTGTGGCTCAAGTGGTAGAGTGCTAGCCTTGAGCTGAAGAGCTGAGGGACAGCACCCAGGCCCAGAGTTCAGGCCCCACGACCAACAACAACAACAACAAAAAAAGTAGTAGAGCACTAGCCTTGATCATAAAAGCTCAGAGATTAGTGCCTAAACCCTAAGCCGAAGCCCCCAAAACCAATCAAATAAAAAAAGGACAGAGGTGAATGATCAAAATGTATTCTTAGACAGAAAAAAATTTAAAAATTTCAAGTGTAAAAATTTTATGAAAAATGACCAACAGCTGGCACCAGTGGCTCACACATGTAATCCTAGCTACTCAGGAGGCTGAGATCTGAGGATCACAGTTCAAAGCCAGCCCTGGCAATAAACCACTCAGAAAACCGTAAGTGGTGCTGTGGCACAAGTGGTAGAATGCTTGCCTTGAGCTGAAGAGCTGAGGGAACAGTGCCCAGGCCCAAAGTTCAAGCCCCACAACTGACAAAAAAAAAAAAAAAAAAATGACTAGCATTATTTATACTTACATAGTAAAAAGACATAAAACAATATTCCTTAATTTTTATGAATTTAAAGTATATTTTAAATTCAAAATATTCAATACATATAAAAAGGATAAAATGTTTCATAGAGTTTGCTATTATATCAGTTAATATTAAAAAGAATATATCATTCCATAAAAATAATCCACAGGTCTTTGTTGGTCATATCACAGATTTTAACACTACACTTGGTATATGAAAAACACACGTTTATTGGATGAATCTTTAATTTGCCAACTACTTATTAATAATACCTTCACTTATTTAAAAATTTTTTGAGATAAGGTCTTATATGACCCAGAGGTTAGCCTTCAGCCCATAATCCTGCTGCCTCTGGCTATTAGAAGCGTGAGCCACTATGCCCAGGGGACAAAGCTCACAACTCTTTTTAAAATCAAAGAAATGCCAGTGTATGTTCCAAAATCATTTAGACCATTAGAATAAAAGTAATCATATATACATCGAAAGATCCCAGGGTCTCACTTCCATGATTAACAAAATGTATGTCATACAGCAGTTAAGAGATCTGCTAAAAATCTAAACAAGTAGGAAATTTCCCAAATTGTTAGTATAAATTACTAATGAATTCACTATAGCTCTATTCTTAGCATAGAAGACACTTTTCTGTCCCATCAATGAAAGACAAAGAAAACATTCAATAAGACTTAGGTTTAAAACCAGCTCCCAACCACCTACAACATAGCTTCAGTCAAGTAACCTGACCTCTTAAGACTTGATAAAAGATAGAGATAAAATTTTCTGATTTTAAAATGCAGGCCACTAAAGAGTTTACAGTTGAGGGCTATTAAACCTAACAAATTCAACAATAAAAAAATATTTAGGGCTAAGAATGTGTTTTAGTGGTAGAGTACTTTGCCTACCATGCATGAAACCCTGGGTTCAATTCCTTAGTATCACATAAACAGAAAAATCCAGAAGTGGTGTTGTGGCTCAAGTGGTAGAGTGCTAGCCTTCAGCTCATGTACAGTGCCCAGGCCCTGAGCTCAAGCCCCAGGACTGGCACGAATAAAAAAAGACATTTGTAGCTGGATTGTAGCTCAGTGGCACAGCGTTTGCCTAGTAAGTACAACATCCTGGGTTCAATCCCCAGTACCATTTAAAAACAGAAGTTAAAAAACACAACAATTATTACAAATTTTTTGTTATTATTCATGATAACCACAGTTCAGAGTTCTCTTACAGCAAACCAATGTCTTCGTGAGAATTCCTAACATTCATTATAAATTTTCTATAAATGTAAATAAAGGAGCAAAAAAATAGTGCCAACATTATTCTTTTTTTAAAAATTCCAATTAAAAAATTTAAAAAAAAATTCTTGGGGCTGGGAAAGTGGCTCAGTGTTAAGAGCGCTTGCCTTGCATGCATGAGGCCCTGGGTTCGATTCCTCAGCACCACATAAGTAGAAAAAGAAAAGCTGGACCTGCTATGGCTTAAGTGATAGTGCACTAGCCGTGAGCTGAAGAGCTGAGGGACAGCACCCAGGCCCAGAGCTCAGGCCCCATGACTGGACCAAAAAAAAAAAAATCTTTATGTTATTCTAGAACCAATTCTTTCAGTTGAGAAAAATAAAAATCTGAAAGTGCTTATTTTGGATCTTATTAAGGAGGCTTCCATTGTTGTGACATACAATAGAAAATTTCCCTAAAATCCATAGTAGTAATCGCTATAGTATTATTCTTATACTAAAACACAAAACAAAAAAAGGAACAAATAATCCTCAGATTGTTCTATTGAAAGGGATCTTTATCTTCAAAGGATTAAATGGCAGAGAAATCTAAGGATATGTTTAAATCAGCAGGGTATAGTGAAGCATTCTTACAATCCCAGCACTCAAGAAGCTAAGGTAGGAAGGATCTTGAGGCTGAGCCTAGCTGGGCTACCCAAGGGAAAACAAAAAACAATAAAACATTTAGCCGGGTGCTGGTGGCTCCTGACTCCAATCCTGGCTACTCAGGAGGCTGAGATCTGAGGAGAGCCAGCCCTGGAAGTAAAGTCTGTAAGATTCTTACATCACCAGAAAACTGGAAATGGGCGTGTGGCTTAAGGTTGTAGAGCACTAGTCTTGAACAAAAGAACCCAAGGGAAGCTCCCAGGCCTGCAGTTCAAGCCCCATGACCACCACCACCACCAACAACAAATTAATAATTTAAACATTAAATAACTGAAACTCAAAATTTTGGAGTAAAAAACTTAAAATATTTTTGTTTTTTTAACTTACATTGTAATCCAATGGGTATCATAACTGCTCCCAAATTGCTGAAAGGTACCAAACAGTTTTGGAAGAAGACGAAGGGAAATTACTACTGATCTGAAAAAGCAAAACATAGATTCTGATGAAATAAAATAATTTTAATTATTAGTTGATCTAGCTTTTTAAAATTTTGTTATTATTAAGGTGCTGTACAGAGAGGTTGTCATTTCACAGTTCAGATAATGAATACATTTCTCTTGGACAACATCACCCCTTCTTGCTTTCTTCCATAATATAAGTTATTGTGGATATACATACATGATTAAAGGTAAGAGCTTATTAAGGTACTTTTTTCACGGAAATGTTCCTTTACCTAGTTATTATCATTACTTTTCAAACTCATTATCATGTATGATTTGTATTCAAGAATCACTATCCTATAAACCAAGTTAATAGTGAAGTCTATCACACATCTCAAGTGTAAGGGACCAAAAAGACAAAAAGAAGTCATCCTAAAACCTCAAAATCTGAATGTGCCTATCCACTCAATAGAATGAAGACTATATATAAATTCCAGAAACAGAAAAGGAGGTTGGCTGATGACCTTAGAAGCCAAAGAAATTATGAGGAACTTAATTTCTTCTTTTCTTTCTTTCTTTTCAGAAGTCAACACTGTGTCATAGTTTATAAAAGAGAAAAGTTGGCACTCAGTCTATTAGTATGTCGTATAAGTCAGAACCCAACACTGCTTAATTAGCTTTAAGTATAAAGAATATCGAAAGACAGAGTTTTACTTCTGGTGGAGAGGAAAGCAGTAAAATAAATTAGAAAACAAAATTCCAAAAAAGACTAAGATATTTAAACTGGTCTACAAAGGCCTGCATGAACTAAATCTAATCATTGCATAAAACTCATTTTTTGTTGGGCACAAGTGGCTTATACTTGTAATCCTAGCTACTCTGGAGAGTGAACTTTGAAGACTGCAGTTCAGAGCCAGCCCAGGCAGGAAAGTCCATGAGACTCTTATCTCCAATTAACTACCAGAAAACTGGAAGTGGCATTGTGGCTCAAAGTGGTAGAACAGTCACCTTGAGCTGAAGAGCTCAGGGACAGTGGCCAGGCCCAAGGACCAACACAAAGCAAAAACAAAAACAAAACAAAAATACAAAACTCATGTCGAACACACTGAATATACAACTGTTCAAAAATTTAAAAATCAGGGTTAGGAAGGTGGCTCAGTGATAAGAGTGCTTGTCTTGCATGTATAAGGCACTGGTTCCATTCCTCAGTACCACATAGGCAGAAAAAAACTGGAGGTGGCAATGTGGCTCAAGTGGTAGAGTGCTCACCTTGAGCTGAAGACAGCACCCAAGCCCAGAGTTCAAGCCCCATGACAAAAAAAAAAAAAAAGTCAAAGCTCATAGTGGTAGAGCTCCAGTCCTGAGCAATAAAGCAGAGCAAGTGTGCAAAGCCCCAAGTTCAAGTCCCCGTCACTGACCCAAACACACATAAACAGAGAAAACAGAACTTAAAAGCATTTTATCAAATGAAGAACACAACTCTTGAAAGTTCTATTCTCTATTACAACCAATGCTATTTGAAGTTTAGAATGTTTATAGTACTAGCAAAAAGCAGGACACAGAGGCATGATTCAAATAGTATAGCACCAGTTGTGAGCAAAAAAGCCAACTTAAGAGTTTGAGGCCATAAGGTCAAGTCTTCGTACCAGCAAAAATATGCTGGGAAGTCCACGAGACTCATTTCCAAATAACCACCAGAAAACTGGAAGTGGTGCTGTAGAGAGTACTATCCTTGAGCAAAAGAGCTCAAGGCCAGTGCCCAGACCAAGTTCTGCCCCAATAACCAGCAACAACAAAAACCAAAGCCTGGAGTTCAAGCCTAAGTTCCAGCATTTGGGGGACACACGGACACACATACACACAAATATAGCTTTATATGTTATCTTATGGACAGGACAGATTCACTGGGGGATCATCATTATTGAATACATGTGTGGATAATTTTGTCTAATTCAGACTACATTATTTTAAGAAAACTGTTCTACAAAACACAGTATTTGCCAGGCATTGGTGGCTCATGCCTTTAATACCAGCTACTCAGGAGGCTGAGATCTGAGGGTTGCGGTTCAAATCAAGCCCTGGCAGGAAAGCCCATGAGATTCTTTTTTTTTTTTTGCCAGTCATGGTGCCTGAACTCTGGCCTGGGTGCTGTCCCTCAGCTCTTCAGCTCAAGGCTAGTGCTCTACCACTTGAGCCACAGTGCCACTTCCAGCTTTTTCTGCTTGGGTGGTGCTAAGGAATCGAACCCAAAGCCTCATGCATGCAAGGCAAGCACTCTACCACTGAGCCACTTTCCCAGCCCCACCCATGAGATTCTTTTTCTTTTTCTTTGGGTCCCCTTGTGGGGCCTGAACTCTGGTCCTGGGCGCTGCCCCTCAGCTCTTCAGCTCAAGACTAGTGCTCTACCACTTGAGCAACAGCACCACTTCCGGCTTTTTTCTTTCTGCTTATGTGGTGCTGAGGAATGAACCCAGGGCCACATGCATGCAAGGCAAGCGCTCTACCACTGAGCCACCTTCCCAGTCCCCGCCCATGAGATTCTTATCTCCAATTAACAACCAGAAAACCAGAAGTGTCACTGTGGCTCAAGTAGTATGGCATTCACATTAAGCTGAAGAGCTCAGGGACAGCACCCAGGCCCAGAGCTTTCAAGCCCCACAACTAACCAAAAGTAAGTAAATTAAACTCCAGGAAAGGGAAAACATTCAAACCACAATCCTCTGATCTGTTTCTCAAGTAAACTAGTATTACAGACTTCAGTCACAGTATGAGGTTGATAACAATGATTCTTCTTGTTCTGAGGTGATATTTCATTGTTTTTATTTACATTGGCCTAATGATAACTAGTGATAAGGAGCATTTTTCTTAAACTTGTTGGACTTTTGCTTTTGTTTTTATTTTGGAGGTGGAGGAACTGGAGGATTTGAACAAAGAGCCTCAGGCTTGCTAGGCTGAAGTTATACTGCTGAATGACTGAAACCTCTCTACCCAGCCTGGTCTCAAACTTCAATAATCCTGTTCTTAATTTTCCCAGTACCTAAGAATTATAAGAGTGAGCCACCCGTGCCAGAATTGTATACCTTCTTTTGAGACATCTCTATTTAGATACTCTAATGTTACTCATGTGGTTTGTTGCTATTCAATTTTTTTAGTTCCTTCTATTTTCTGGATTAACAATGTCTAGTCAGATACACAGTCTACACACATTTTCTCCTTTCTGACTATTTCATTGCATAGCCCCAGATAGCTTCAAACACTGGACCTTCTTAATTCATCCTCCCAGCATTTGGGTCATCATTTATTGAAGTACGAGTGACATATGAGAACTATACACATTTTATGTGTATAGTTAATACTACAGAAGCTGAGACAAAAGTTTCACCCACACGGAGATACAATATTGGTTCTAAAGTGTCCATTTTAAAGTTTCATTCACTTCAGATTTAACTTTCTTTATATATAGGACAGGACAGGTTCAAGGCATATAACTGCAATTTAAACACAAAGTCATCACAACTGTATTCCCAGCATCAAAAAATATTATTATTCCTTTGTTCAGTGTTGGAGATCTTAAGGATTCTGAAAAATGATGAAAAAAAACAACCAAGAAAATATTGACAACTGTGAGTTGTTTTAACCTTAGTATGAAAACCATAAATATTTAAAACATTAACAAAGGCACATTAAAATATAAAAACAAGATACCTAGTCAGAAAGAATTATGTCATAAGAACTATGACAACTATATAAACATTTTTAAAATTTCCTCTTTACCTGTTGTTTGCTAAATTTTCAAGGCAACCTTCAATAAATCTCATTCGAATCTGTCTATCCGTAAACCAACATACTAAAGAACAAAGAAGTTTCTCTGCTTCATTTATGAGTCCTTCAGAAAGATTAACCTGAAAAAAATGTATATACATAGGTTATTATTTATTCCAATCATTTTGCTATAATTTTGTGCAATTCTGGATTTATTACATTACTTACTGCATCATCATCTTGCACTATATCCCACAACAAAGTGTTTCCTTTCTTGCAAACATTATCCAAATTAATATCTGTCACAGCATTACTGTTAAATTGATGTTTATGAACAGCAGGTCCTGATGGGGCAAAACATAGCACACTATAGAGGAATACAGCTGAATGAAAGTTAGAATTAGAGCACTAATAAAGTTAACAAATCAAAAGAGAAGTTTAAAAATAAAGCTTCTCCTTAAAAAAAAAAAGCTTCTCCTAGAACACAAAATTGTAGGATTAAAGCAATTATTTAATTTATGAAAAAGATTTTTAGTGTTAGTAAAGTCAAGTAAATCTTTCCATTATTTATAAATATGACTAATATTTTTCACTTATTAAGAGAACTGCATGTAAATGTCGGATACTCAATTCAAGCATAAAGAAGGTAATTTGCTAGAAATAATTCCTTAACCAATTTATATTTGCCTAGATATTCTTTGCTGTCTGGTCTTTTATTAACCTAGATTAGCATGAAGCAAACAATTTTTATTGGGTATGACTTATCCAAAACATTCAAATTCAATTAAAAGATTCTATTATAAAAAATCTGATTTTTAAGTACTTGAATATGTGGGATACAATAATCAGAAATACACTGTTGTCGGGGTTGGAAATGTGGCTTAGTGGTAGAGTGCTTGCCTAGAACTTCACTGTTGTTTTAGGTTTTTTTTTTTGGACAGTTGTGGGGGCCTAAATTCTGGGCCTGGGTGCTGTCCCTCAGCTCTTCAGCTCAAAGCTAGTACTCTACCACCTGCCACAGCGCCACTTCCTGCTTTTTCTGCTCAGGAATTAAATCCAGGGCCTCATCAATGCAAGGAAAGCACTCTACCACTGAGCCAACTTCCCAGTCCCCACTGTTTTGTTTTTAAACAGCTTTTTTATGTCCCTGAGCTCTTTCACTCAAGGCTAGCGCTCCACCACTGAGCCACAGCATCACTTCAAGTTTTCTGGTGGTTAATTAGTCTCAGGCACTTTCTTGCCTAGGCTGGCTTTGAACCATGATCCTAAGATCTCAGCCTCCTGAGTATGATTACAGGTGTGAGCCCAGCACCTGGCACCTCCAGACTCTTTTTAAGTGCTAGAGTATAGATATGCACCCCCACAGCTGGCTCTATTGCTTTTTAACCTTTTTAATTCTCCATTTGTCTATGTGTGATTATGTTCTACTAAGATCAATTTTGATTAATTAGAATAATCTTTTATCCAACATTTTCATCACCAAAAAAGAAAGAATTTACTTTTTAACAGAGCTAATCTCCTTATTTTTCCCAATTCTTTTTATCATCAGGTAAGTACAAATCTACTTTGTGTATATAGATTTGCCCAATGTACACATTTCATATGGACAGATCATACAAAATGATGATGTATGCTCAATTACATTTAGGTTCTAAGATTTCTGAGAATAAAATAGAATGTAGCTAAGTATTTTCTAAAATATCTATGTAATTTTCTTACTTATTAATTTTCATTCTTTCCCAGCTGAACATCTCTGAATAAAAACAGAGGCCATGCCAGGCGCTGGTGGCTCACGCCTGTAATCCTAGCTACTCAGGAGGCTGAGATCTGAGGATCGCGGCTCAAAGCCAGCCCGGGCAGGAAAGACTGTGAGACTCCTATCTCCAATAAACCACCCGAAAACCGGAAGTGGCGGGTAGCTCAAATGGTAGAGCGCTCGTCTTGAGCTGAAGAGCTGAGGGATAGCACTCAGGCCCGGAGTTCAAGCCCCACGACCGACAAAAAAAAACAAAAACAGAGGCCATATGCAGACACTAATGGCTCATGCCTGCAATCCTAGCTACTTAGAAGGCTGAGATCTGAGGACAGCATGAGCAAGAAAAGACCACTGAGAGACTCTTATCTCTACTTAATCACCCAAAAAAAGCTGGAGGAAGAGATGTGAGTCAAGTAGGAGATGTTGGCCTTGAGCAAAAAATGCTGAAGAACAGTTCCAGGACCTATGTTGAAGCCCCCGTATTGGCACCTTCCACACACAAAAAAAATTCCTTACATTCATGATTGAATATTTATAATAATTTCATTGTCTTGGAAAGCAAATTGTCATGTATCAAGTCATTTTGTCTATAGAAATTCACTAATACTACTGACTGTAAATTCTTTTAAACAATTTAATAAATCATCTGTTTTCAAGAACATAATAGTTTACCATAAAATCTTACCTTGACTAAGATGTTCATGGTAAATAGATGCCAAATTGGGAAGATGTTGTTGGAGATGAGATGTTAGTTCTGCATGTGAATTAATTTGAACTAATTCTTCTTCACATCCAGATTCTTCACCATCAAAGTCAGCCATGTTTTTTTCTGATTTTGCACTGACCTGCGAACTACTGCAACTAACATCATCTGCACTTAACATATCATCAACCATATGCCTGTAACAGAGAAATCACAAACTTTAGGGAGGGACTTTACAAATTCTCTTAAAATATTTGGCACAAGCTACAACAAAATCAGAAACACAACTATGCTATTCAATTCTAGAAGAGGTGCAGGGAATCAAAAGTTTTCTAACATGGGATCCTGACAGCTTCAACACAAAACTACAAAGAAGGCTAAGTACTATGAAGGAACATACTTGCAGTCCCAGCTACTCAGAAAGCAGAGGTAAAATAACTATAGATCAGGGCTGGAAGGTGGCTTAGTGGTTGAGTGCTTGCCTAGAATGTATGAAGCCCTGGGTTCGATTCTTCAGTACCACATAAACAGAAAAGGCTGGAAGTGGTGCTGTGGCTCAAGTGGTAGAGTGCTAGCCCTGAGCAAAAGAAGCTCAGGAACAGCACCTAAGCCCTTGGTTCAAGCCCTAGGACTGGCCAAAAAAAAAAAAAAAAGACTATAGATCAAAGCCGTCTTAGGCAAAAATCACAAAACTTTGAGAAAAACAAACTGAAAAAGCAAATGGACTAGGTGCATGACTCAAGTGGTAAGAGTGCTCATCTAAAATCCAATCTCCACTAGTCACCCGCCCATTCCAAGAAAAAAAGAAAAACGTACCAAGAGCTAGTGGCTCATGCCTGAAATCCTAGCTACTCACGAAGCTGAGATCTGAGGATCATGGCTCAAAGCAGAAAATAAGTTAGAATATTAACTCCAATTAACCACCAAAAAGTCAGAAATAGAACTCTGGCTCAAGTGGTAGAGCACTAGACTTCACAAAAAAAAGCTCAGGGACAGCAGTTCTAACCCCAGGTCTAGTACAAAAATGAAAAAGCTGCAAAATTCTAAATGTTACAATTTTATAATATACACCCATATTACATTTTACTAGATAGACAGCAAGACAGCTAGATATAAAATCTTTCAAATTGTCTAATGAGTTATACACATACGCACATAACTAGTTCTAAGAAAACTTTTAGGTAAGGTCAATATACTGGTAGCTTTCATTCTATAAACTCAAAGTTACAATATAAAACCATTCAGTTTGCTTTCATTCATTTCATTTATTCATAAAACTATAAAACCAAATAATTTTCTGTAATTACAGAAAAATATTCCAATTTAAGGCTACAATAGCACTTAATATTAATTTGGACGTACTGAAAGTGATGTGACGCAAATCAGCATGTACAAAACCTTGGATTTAATATGCAGAAATTGTCTCCCAATGAATTTTCTTTAACTTAAGAAAGGTATACTAAGCAATAAAATCATTTCTAAAACACACTTCACTGTGTACTCTAAAGGATATAGTGACAAGTAGTAACAAAATAACATAAAATTTTAGCGTTGATTTAGAGATATACAAGCAATAATATGCACAGAAAACAGAAAGGGCTTCAAAAAAAATTAAATCATTACGTCTTACAGAGTAGACCTATAAAATCTAATGGTATTCTTTTTACTTGAGTATCAAGACTAAAGGACATACTGTGATGTTCTGAACTAAATGTATCACAACTAAGTTAAACAATGAAGTTAATTGCTTTGGAATACTGGAACTGGTAAAGAATTCTGGGATCAATTTTTAATGTAACACCCATAATATCAAACATTAAACAATCAGGGCTGATTTCCAAATGTCCCTACTGGTAACCAAAATGTCTTCAAAGATAATTTTTGAGCTGAATATACAGCTCAATGGTAGAACATTTACTTAACATGCACAAGGGTCCTGATTCAATCTCCAGACCCACCAAAAACTAGTAATAGTAAAAAATTATGTAGACATATTTGTTGTTACAAGTAAAGGAATGCTGCTAGCATCTAGAGATTGATAAGAGGTAAGTATACTGTTAAACATGCTACAGAGCACAAAGCAACAGCCTCATTGCTGTGGATTCAAGACCAAAAATTATCTGGTCCAATATTGTCAAGATTAAGAAACACTGCCTTTGACATAATGGAGAATAAAAGAGGAAACTGAGGGGCTGGGGGTTTAGCCCAGCGGAAGCGCACCCGCCTGGCGCGCGCAAGGCCGTGGGTTCGGTTCTCAGCCCTAGTTTAAAAAAAAAAAAAAAAGAGGAAACTGAGCACTGCTGTCTTACACCTGTAATCCAAGCAACTCAAGAGGCTCAGATCTGAGGATCATGATTCAAAGACAGCTCAGGAAGAAAAGTCTATCAGACTCTCATTTCTAATTAACTACCAAAAAGCTAGAAGTGGAGTTGTGGTTCAAGTAGTAGAGTACTAGCCTTTAGCAAAAAAAAGCCTAGCCCCTGAGTTCAAGCCTCAGAACCAGCACCAAAATAAAAAATAAGAATACATTTTTTAAAAAAAGAGAAAATAAAATAATACATGTGGATTTATTGCTCATGGAAGCTACTAAATGGAATTTTGGAAAGTCTGGCAAACTATACTTTTGTGAAATTCATCCTGATAAAATCATACATTCAGCTGGGTGCCAGTGGCTCACGCCTATAATCCTAGCTACTAAGGAGGCTGAGATCTGAGGATCACAATTCAAAGCCAGCCCAGGCAAGAAAGACTTCTATCTCCAGAAAACCAGAAGTGGCGCTGTGGCTCAAGCGGTAGAACACTCGCCTTGAGCTGAAGAGCACAGCGACAGCACCCAAGCCCAGAGCTCAAACTCCACAACCGACCAAAAAAAAAACCCATAAGTTCATATTTCACCTTTAATTCACATATTACTTCTAATGGCAACAATAAACAGTAGTAACGTTTAATGAGCATTTATTTCCACAATTACATTAGCTTATAAAATCCTTATAATAAATTCATGAGATCGGTACCACGGTTATCATTTTGTAGGTTACAAAGTTAAAAGTAACTAATTTAAGTACTTTGTCCAATATAATATCAGAGGAATAGAATCACTTATTGTAAAATACTATGTGTGGATTTTACAAATAATAAAAAGAAACTGTTCATACACATTAATATCCTAAAATTAAGTGATGTAAAATTTCCCTTTCATCACCAAGATTAGATGTTTCCACAAGTGATTTTACATCTGCTTTCAGAAAATTATTGGAGTCGAAGATTTAAAACTATGCTGTGCAAAATAACAGCCACTAAGCATATGTAGCAATTACACATATTAAAGTCACTGGTCTAACAAAATAGGAGATGTGCTATAAATATAAATTATACAACTAATGGGGGATAGGAATACAGGTCAATAATACATTACTTGCCTACCTAATATATAAAAGTCCATAGAGCGGGTAGGTAGAAGGAAGAGGAGAGAGGGAAAGGGGGAAAGGAGGGGGAAGGAAGTAGAAAGAGATTTTAGTTTAGTTTTCTTTTTTGGAGGAGGTGCCTAGGGCTTGAACTCAGGGCCTGCGTACTATGCCTGAGCTTTTATTTTCTTTTTTTGGTCAGATCTATTGTTCTACTACTTTAGCATAGTTCCAGTTCCAGTTTTTTTTGGTATTTAATTGGAGATAAGCGTCTCATGGATTTTCCTGCTTGAGATGGTTTCAAATTGCAGTCCTCAGATTTCAGCCTCCTGAGTAGGTATATAGCTGTAAGCTACTAGTACCTGGTCTAATTTTCAGCTCTAAAAACAGACTCAGAACACACACATGGAAGCTGGGCGCTGGTGGCTCACGCCTGCAATCCTAGCTACTTAGGAGGCTGAGATCTGAGGACTGCGGTTCAAAGCTAGTCCATCCAGGAAAGTCCTTAAGACTCTTGTTTCCAATTAACCACCAGAAAACCAGAAGTTGTAAAGTGCTCACCTTAAGCTGAAGAGCTCAGGGATAGTATCCATGCCCAGAGTTCAAGCCCCATGACAGACCCAAAAAAAAGCAAAAAGAAAACCACACATGGGGAATATTGAGACTGGTCTTTATTAAGGAAGAAAATGAAAAACAAAAAACGCTGGGTATAGCCAAGGGCAGATAACTCACGCCTGTAATTCTAACTACTTAGGAGGCTGAAATCTAAGAATCATGGTTCAAACCAGCCAGGGCAGTCCCTGCAACTCTTATCTCCAAGTAACCACAAAAACCCCTGAAGTAGAGCTGTAGTTTAAGTGTTAGGGTACTAATCTTAATCCAAAAAAGCTGAGGACCGGTGTCTAGGCCCTGCTGCCTTCAAAACAAAAAATGATTTTTATGGAAATGGACTTTATTTTCCCTCTGCAGTGCTGAGGATTTAACTCAGGAACCTTGTAACCAAGTGACCAAGTAATCTACATTGAGCCAATAGTGAGAGCTTAATTTTGCTTTTTTTACATGTCCCCACACTACAAAGCTTAATATTACCTATGTTTGAGTTGCATTAATCTCTTTGCATCATTATTATTGTACAGCATTAAGCAAAAGTAAATAGACTTAAGAAGTAGCTATAATAATTTCCCAAATGAAATATAAGTTAAATATTTTATTTTTAAACAGGCTTACCCATCATGGTGGTGGTGGTGGTGGTGGTGGTGATGGTGATGGTGGTGGTGATGCTGTGGGCCAATAAACTGGCGACAATTAAATAATTCATTCCCAATAGTCTCCCCAAGGAAATCCCCAGTTCGTGTGATACAAGACTCCTGAGAACCTTGTGCTATGTGAGCAGCATTCATTTCCCCTGAAATATCATGTTCTGTGTCTTCAGAATGAGCACAGGCATCAAGCATTCGTATCCGGTTATCTACTGATGGCAAAGACTCAGTGTTAAAAACTAAGTCCTTTCCCGTTCCATTGCTTGTCCCATTTCTTTCAGATGGACCTTGGGATTCCCCTAAGCAAATGCCTGCTTGACTTTCTAACTTTCTGTTTCGAAGCTCTGTTCCACAACTGCTTTTGGGAGGACTATGGCCGCGATCATCATCTTCATCTTCTTCTTTAAGAGCTTCAATATCTGCAATATCTTCTGACTGTACCTCACTTCCAGGGCTCCCAGCTGACTGGCTTGCATGGCTAGAATTGACCTCATTGCTAGATCCATCACTATGTCCACTACTGCTACCAGGACCACTGCTTCCATCTTCACCACTGTTGGCAGTTTCATCAGAACTTCCTTGCATGGATTCCTGTATTCATAAACAAATACATTGAAAATTTTAAATTAGAAAGAAAAACATAATTGATATGGACATATTGTGCTTTTCTAAACAGCTCTTATAGTAATGTCCTTCTTTGAACAATACAAAATGGAACTAAAACTTCAATGTCTAAAGAACCCAAAGGAGACTCCACAAGGATTATATTTATATTCCCAATACAAATAATAAACAAGATGGAAATATTTCAAATCCTGTTAATAGGGCAAAATCTATTTACATACCTCTGTGTCTGAAAGTCGCTGCTGCACATGCTTGGTTCTATTAATAAGTTGCTCATCCATTTCAATGTCACTACCTCCACTTTGATGTGTATCACTATTATCACTGCTTTGAGGACTTGCTGCAGGTGACCCTATACAAAGTAAGTTTTAAATTTTTTAATTCTAATTTATATTAACGTTTGCCTAGTAGACAAGGTTTTGGATAGGTCAGATGGTTCTAATGGGGAATGAATTTAGGGCCTCACACTTTGTAAATACAACGTCAGCCACACTCCCAAGTCTTGTGCTTTTTAGCATCTTGGCTTTTCTCCAGTCCACACTGGACTGAGATTATACTACTTCTACTTCCTGAGTAACAGGGATTACAGAAATGTACTACCAGGCCTGCCTTGTTTTTGAAATAGGGTCCCTCTAACTTTTGCACCAGTTGACCTAAAACCAAAATCTCTACACTCTAGTAGCTAGAATTACAGGTGTGTGCCACTACATTTAGTCCCATTTGCTAATTATTTCTTAAAAGGATGGAGCTGTTGGTCACTGGGAAGAAATGATACGTAGTTCACTTGTCTAGCAAGCTGGAGGCTCAGTATTTAATCCTTCCAACAAGGAGGGAAAGGAGGAATAAAAGAGGTAAAATGTTTAACTAGTTTAAGATTTGTGTCTAGGCTGCAAAGTGAAATATATGACTCTAATACTAACATATTTCTATATAAAAGTAATTACCCAAAGATCATCAAAATTATGTCATTTTTCATGCATATCTAAGACACAACTTACAAGGAGATGGTGCTGCTCTTCTGAGTTCTTCCTCCTCTGAAGAAAAAGTAAAAAACAGGAAGGAAACATTCTAAGTCACTGAGCTTCTTTGGACCAGTGTAATAAAACACAGTAAACATAAAAACATAGTAAACATAAAACACAGTAAACAAGACACAATGGGAAAACCTTAAAGTTGTGAGAGCTAACTCAAAAAACCCTAGAATAGTATGTAGTGTCAGTAGACATAAGCTGGGTTCAAGTATGTTACATTTTAGAAAAGTCCTTGGAGTTGGGGGTGAGTGACTCATTGTCTGTAATCCTAGTGAGACTGTATCTGAGAATTCTAGTTCAATGTCAGAGGCAGAAATTTTTGAGAGATACTAATCTCCAATAATCAGCAAAAAGTCAGAGTGGAAGTATGGCTCAAGTGGTAGAGTACCAGCCTTGAGTATAAAGCCCTAGTGCAAGCCCTATTACCAGCATAAGAAAAAAAAAGTTCTTAAAAGTTATACATATATGAAAGGATACACAGAAAGCACATGACATGTTAAAAAAATGTTCTAATCTTTAAAATATCTAGCCGGGTGCTGGTGGCTCACACCTGTAATCCTAGCTACTCAGGAGGCTGAGATCTTAAAATCCTGGTTCAAAGTCAGTCCGGGCACGAAAGCCCCGAGACTCTTTATCTCCAATAACCACTCAGAAAACCAGAAGTGGTGCTATGGCTCAAATGATAGAGCACTAGCCTTGAGCTGAAGAGTTGAGAGACAGCACCCAGCCCAAAGTTCAAGCCCCATGACATACAAAAAAAAAAAATCTCTACAGGGCCGGGAATGTGGCTTAGTGGTAGAGTGCTTGCCTAGCATGCATGAAGCCCTGGGTTCAATTCCTCAGTACCACATAATCAGAAAAGTCCAGAAGTAGTGCTATGGCTCAAGAGGTAGAGTGCTAGCCTTGAGAAAAAGAAGCTCTGGGACAATGTTGAGGCCCTGAGTTCAAGCCCCAGGACTGGCAAAAAAAAAAAAACTCTACAGAAAGATGTTTTTGTTGTTGTGTTTGGTTTTGTCAGTCTTAGTTAGAGCCTAAACTCAGGGTTTGGACACTGTAGCTGAGCTTTTTTTTTTTTTTTTGGGGGGGGGGTCCGGTCGTGGGGCCCGAACTCTGGGCCTGGGCGCTGTCCCTCAGCTCTTCAGCTCAAGGCTAGCGCTCTACCACTTGAGCCACAGCACCACTTCCGGCTTTTTTCTTTTAGCTTTGTGGTGCTGAGGAATCGAACCCAGGGCCTCATGCATGCAAGGCAAGCGCTCTACCACTGAGCCATCTTCCCAGGCCCCAATGTTGCTGAGCTTTTGAGCTCAAGGCCATCACTAGTAACACTTTGAACCACAGTTCCACTTTCGGTTTTTGGGTGGTTAATTGTATGTAAAAGCTTTACACAGGCTTTCTTGCCTGGAGTTCCTTGGATCTCAGCCCCCTGAACAGCTAAGATTACAGGTGTGAGCTGCCAGTGCAAAGCCTTCACCTCACCCCACCCCCAATTCCTGGGGCTTGAATTCTGGGCCTGGGCATTCTCCCTGAGCCTCTGTGCTCAAGCTAGCGCTCTACCACTTGAGCCACATTGCCACTTCTGGTTTTTCTGAGTAGTTTATTGGAGATGAGAGTCTCATGGCCTTTCCTGCCTCAGCTGGCTTTGAACAGAAATCCTCAGATCTGATCCTCCTAAGTAGCTAGGATTACAGGCGCCTGGCCACAACTGTATTTTTGTCAATACCCAACTTTCAGGACTCTGGAAACATAACAGGAGAGTCCCAGAAAGGGAAGAAGTGTGAGCCAGAAAAATTATTTGAAGTAATGGCTAACACTGACACATGGCTGCAGATTGTTTTGTAGAAGAAAAAAATAGATTGAAGCTTTATTATCATCCTTTACCTAAAGGGTAAACCAAAACCAGTAACAAACAACATTTTTACTCTCATATATAGTCTATATTACATTAGAAACAAAACTTTAGACCGTGTTAGTTGAGTGACTCTTATCTGAAAAGCTTAGTCCTCATATTGCATATTGGATCTTTTCTAATTTTAAAATATATGCATACACAAATAACATACCTTGGGGCTAAGACCTCAAGAGAACACAAATAATTCATATTTTTCCTTTCCTATATACCTTACATACTAACTCTACCTTCAGGCTAATATACACAGCCTAAAGGTAATTTTATACATTTTTAGTACATCTATGATTTGACAGAAACCTGTCATGCTGTAGAGTGTTGAATTTTCCACTACTAGCATCATATCTTCCTTCAGAAGTTGTAAATTTTGGGTTTGAAACAGGGAGTACAGGCCCTGAGGATTAAACTCAGGGCCTGAGTGGTATTTCTGACCTGCTAGGCTGAAGGCTAAAAATGCTCTACACTTGAGCCATAGCTCCATTAATTGGAAATAGTAGTCTCACTGACTTTCCTACCCAGGCTGGCTTCAGCTGCCTTAGTAGCTAGGATGACAGGTGTGAGCCATCAATACTCAACTTAAAGTTGTGAATTTTTGATCATTTTGAACTTAGGATTTTCAGATAGGAATGATCAACCTATACTAGCAGAAAATACTTTCAATTCTCAGTCATAGTCTCAAACTTTAAACAACAATTTCAAAATTTAAAAATACATTTTACTAACCTTTCTTATTTCCAATGGGAATATTAGTGTTCAATAAAGATGCAAAAGAACTCTGTTTGGAGAGTTGAGCCTTAGCTGCCAATGCATTATTCCACAATGCTTTAATTAACATGGACGCCAAGTACAATGTCTTAAAAAGAGAAATTAAAAAATGGAAGTTCTCAATCAACACTGTTGTAAATACTAATATAATTGAAATAATTAAATAAGCTACTAGTGAAGTTATCTCAGTAGCAAGGTAAACTGTTATTTAACAAGAAAAAAAATTGTCATTATTTCCATGCAGATTACCTGTTCAGTATGAACGCTTGGCTCAAGAGCGGAGACCAAATTAAGGAGATGTCTAAGTGGTACAGGATCCAAATTTTTGATAAGTGATGGAAATAAATCATGAATATACCGACTACAATGTTTCAACTACAAAATAAGAGAAAATAGTTTTGGTGATTACTCACATTTAAATTATCTGTAAATTATTTAAAAGTTACACAGTCTATAGTCAAGAAATTGGCCAATATGCTAATTTTTATTTTCTTGGTAAAATACTAATTTTAAATACCATAAATGGTAGGATAAATCAGCAAAAATAAATTATACTATTATCTTATCCAACTACCATTTTAAAAAAATATTATTATTATCTTTTTAAGTAGTTGTACAAAGGAGTTGCCATTCAACAAAGTAACTTATGAATACGTGTTACCCTGCAAACTTAATTTATTGCCTGCAAAAAGCCTACTGAGTAAATTTGTAGAATCCAAATAGAATGATAATAGGTAAAACTTATATACAAATATTAATATTAAAAGCAGTTAAAGAACTGGGGTTTGGTGCATTGACAAATCCCTTAAATCGAGTATCAGAGGTCCTGATCTGCATTTGATCCCAGCACTGAGAGAATAAAATTCTTTAAAGGCTAAGAGAAGCCAGTGCCAGTGGCTCACATACTAGCAACTCAGGAGGCTGAGATCTAAGGATCAAGTTCCAAAGCCAGCATAGGTAGAAAAGTTGGAAAGACTCTTATCTCCAATTAACTACTAAGAAAAGCTGGAAGTAGAGCTGTGGCTTAAGTGGGTAGGACACTAGCCTTGAGACAATGCTAGTACTGTAAGAAAGAAAGCTCAGGGAGCTGGGAATGTGGCTTAGCAGTAGAGTGCTTGCCTAGCATGCACAAAGTCCTGGGTTCGATTCCTCAGCACCACATAAACAGAAAAAGCCAGAAATGCTGCTATGGCTCAAGTGGCAGAGTGCTAGAGCAAAACAACAGCTCAGGGACAGTGCTCAGACCCTATGTTCAAGCTCCAGGACTGGCAAAAGAAAAAAGAAAAAAAAAGTTGGTAAAGTAACAGGATACAAAAATCAACCCACAAGAATCAGCAGCATTTCTGTATACCAGTGTGCAGAGAGTAAACTCAGGAAAATGATTCTATTTGTAATAGCCTCAAAAAAAAGGAGTAAGCCTAACCAAGGCAGTGAAAGATTTCTATAGCAAAAACTATAAAAATCTGAAGAAATCAAACATGACAGAAGGAAAAGGAACCTCCTGTGTTCAATAAGTAGAACTAATATGAAAATGCTAACAACTGCCAAAAGTAATCTGCAAATTCAATGGAATCCCTAGCAAAACCCCCAAGATGTTAATCGATGAGATTTAAATTTTTAAAAATTCATATGGAACAAGACAATTTTAGACAAAAAAAAAGTAATGCTTAAAGTATCACAATTACAGGCCTCAAACTTTACTACAGAGCTCTAAGAAAAAAAGCTTAGTACTAAAATAAAAAGCTTAGTACTAACATAAAAATAGGCCCAAAGGCCAATGGAATAGACTGGAAAACAAAGAAATAAACCTATATATTTACAGTTATCTAGTATATGACAAGAGAGCCAAAAATATATCTTGGAAAAAAATAGCCTCTTCAATAACTGCTGTTAAGAAAACTGAACATCCTTACAGAAAACTAAAACTGGATCCCTGTTTGTCACTTTGCACCAATATCAACTTAAAGACCTCAATGTCAGACCTGAAAGCTGGAATCCAAAGGTCTAATTCGTCTTAATAATAATGTATTATTTATCCAAATGAATGCCAGGAAATAGAAACATGTTTTGAAAAGGAGGGAAAACTGGAGGAGGCACATGAATGGAGGAAGAGTGAGCAAATGCAGTCATTATAGCCAATGTACATTATGTAAAAACTAAATCACTTGAGGGTAAGGAAGGGAAGAGAAAAATGGGGGAGAATGAAGGAAGAGGTGACATTTGTCAAGAGGGTCTGTACTAATAGCCTAACTTATGGAACTGTAACTTCTCTGTACAACTACTGAATAATAATAACAATAATAATGATGATGATGATTTATTTGTTTCCTGAGAAAATTAGGATTGATTTCCCTCTGTTCCTTCAGTAATATAGTAAAACGTGGTCCATTCAGACTTCATATTACATTCCCCGATTTTTCATATCTTAATTTACCTCATAGAGAAGTGAAGCCCTTTGAAAAGGTAACAGTAAAAAGAAACTGTTAATATTACCTGTGCTGCAGCCCAAATACAGTCAATATGCTGAGTGCTCAACCGCCCTTCTGCTGCCAAGAAATTCAAAATCACTTGGCACTGTTTGATAATCTGGAAAAGGAAAACAATGTAATTTTCAAAAGTATTCCTTTCTATAAAATACATAAAGAATAGGAAATCATCAACAAACCTCAATATGTAAATTTGGTCCAAATATATGCTCCACTACATTGTTGCTAATAAGCCAGTCTGCAAGTTCTTTTGCAATGGACCTAGAGTCAAAATGATAAAAATAACATATTAAAAGGAAAAAAATTAGCTTCCCTTGTGTAAAAGGCAGATCCAGCTGAGCTGAACACCTACATTTGTTTTCATACAAATAATAAAAGTGATTATATACAATTTTTCAGACTATAAAGCGTTAACTAAAATGACCTACAAACATTCCCTAAATTTTTAAGTCAGTAACAAGTAACTGTAAAGATAACGCCTAACATCAAGTACCCAGGTGAGACTAGCAAGTTCTAAACTTTGCCTTCCCCCTTTAAAATTTCCATAATCACAAAAGAAGCTTAAGAGACACTGCCCAGGCCCTGAGTTCAAGCCTCAGGACCAGCACCTAAAATACAGAATAAAAATAAAAACAGAAAAAATTCCACAGTGGCACAGAAGCATTCAGGACTTTCTACAGGCTATAATGCAAAAGGGAAAGTAGGTAGCTAAAAGGGTGATTCCAGGGAAGATTATACCCAAAGCAAATATTATAGGAGAGTGGGTAGAGAGAAGTATTAAAACAAACTACTAGTGCTTTTTTTTTTTTTTTTGCTTTTGTCAGTTGTGGGCTTTGAACTCTGGGCCTGGGTGCTGTCCCTCAGCTCTTCAGCTCAAGGCAAGCGCTCTACCAATTGAGCCACATGACCACCTCTGGTTTTCTGGTGGTTAATTGGAGATAAGAGTTTCACAGACTTTCCTGCCCAGCTGACTTTGAACTGTGATCCTCAGATCTCAGCCTCCTGAGTAGCTAGGATTACAGGCATGAGCCATTGGCAGCTGGCCAATACCCAACTGTCAGGACTCTAGAAACATAACATAGGAGAGTCCCAGAAAGGGGAGAAGTATAAGCCAGGAAAATTATTTGAAGTAATGGCTAACACCTGACACATGTGAGAAAAACATTCATCTACACATCAACAAAACACAACAAATTCTAAATAGACCACAAAGAGATCACATCATATGCATATGTTCAAAAGCAGTAAAAGAAAAATTAAGAAATCAAGGACCGTAGCTGACTTTTTAAAAATCAGAAACAAGTAACAGCTGTATTAGAGCAAAAGACTTTTCTATCTAATTAGCATGAAATCAGCACTAACTTGAAATGCATATTATAACATGTAAAGCAATTAACCAGCAAAAAGCTGAATGTATAGCTGTGGCTCAAGTGGTAAGGAACTAGCCTTGAGCAAAAAGAAAAGCTCAGGGACAATTCCCAAGCCCTGAGTTCTAACCCTAGGACCAGCACATAAAGATGCAATAGCAGCAGATGAAGCAAAATTAAACAACAACAACAAAAAAAATCCCAGGGCTTGTGTGGCAGCAGTAGACTGTCAGTGTAGTCAAGAACAAGGCCCTTAGATGAAAGCCCCAGTACAAAAAAAAAAAAAAAAAGATCAAATTGTTATAAACATATTGACAAAAGTCTCAAAGCTGGATGGTCAGTGGCTCACACCTATAATCCTAACTAGTAGGAGGCTGAGATCTGAGGATCATGGTTCAAAGCCAGCTTGGGCAGGAAAGGGCAGAAAAGTCAGTGAGACTCTCATCTTTAATTAACCACCAGAAAACCAGAAGTGGCGCTGTGGCTCAAGTGGCAGAGCACTCACCTTGAGCTGAAGAGCTGAGGGTTAGCGTCCAGGCTCAGAGTTCAAGACCCATGACCAATAACAACAAACAAAAAAGAAGAGTCCCAAAATATATAATGCAAAAACTAACAAAATCAAACAAGAAATAGACAGATCAATTGCAATAGTCAATTTTTACTTGCAGAAGTTATACTCTATGGAGTCACTGAATAATAATGAACTCAATCCTGGAAAATATAATTATAATAATTATATTCTTAAACACTACAAATAAGTCATATATTGACTGCATTTTACAAAATAGAAGAATTAGGTTAACTTGCTTGGCCACCTGTCCTAACAAATAGATTTGGAATTCAAACCACTCTTTATCCTTTGTATGAGCTCTGAAACAAAATGAAAATGTCATCTTGTTCAACTTCAGCTTATAATGTAAATGTTGGGAGAAGTGAAATTTTCACTGTTCTGTGCATGAGTAGGACTATGAAATTGCCATGAGTATTGGCTGTGCAGTTGTGAATGAATTAGAGCACACAGACGAATTCTTAAATACCAAACCAAGGATTAATGGTAATAAACTGTACTTAGAAACCTTGATGTCTTACTTTCAATATACAGAACCATTAGACAAAGAATAGAAAGAACATGGGAGAGAACATTACAGATCAATGAAAACTAATAGACAACCATAGAATAACCCTTAGAAACAAAAGAATAATCTTTTTTTTTTTTAAGGTCCATAACCAAGACCTGAACTTGATACCTGATGCTTTCACCTCACTGGCGGTACTCTACCAACAAACCATGCCTCCAACCCCAGAATAATCTTAATACATACAAGATTCTATGGTAGAAGCCACATGGCTAGAACATAAAACACAACATAATAACCCAGTTAAAAACAGGAACTTATTCCTAGTCCTTTGTCAACTGTTTTGAAACCACAAAGATTTCGTCCTGTAATGTGTGGTACTACTGTGATGAAAATTCCAAGCTTTTTTTCATTGCTCAACATAGAGGACTTCATTCTTAGATAATTAGATCATGACTGTAGAACCCTCAGCTGAGCACCACTGGGCATGCCTGTAATCTTAACTACTCAGGAGGCTGAGATCTGAAAGTCTATGAAAAAGTCTATAAAAAAGGGCTGGGATGTAGTTCAGTGGCAAAGCGCTTGCCTAGCAAGTGCAACGTCCTGGGTTCGATCCCTAGTACCAAAAAAGAAAAGACGAAAAAAATACAGTTAAAATTAAAAAAAAAACAAAAGTCTATAAAAAGTCTATAAAAGCCTGTGCAGCTCTGTGAGGTCAGAGGTTACATTTCAAGTTTGTGCAGGAGGGTGCAATGACATTGAAACAGATTTTTTTTAAGGATACCTATACTCCTCTGGGACATAGAGTGATTCATACGACTAGCATTCTTTCCATGTTTATTAAAACTCCAGATCTTAAAAAAAAAAGACTTTTCAATTAAGCATTAAATGTGATAAGTCTGAAAAATGTAGTCATAGTTATACTAAAAAAGTTTAAGCTGGGTCCTCGTGGCTCACTCCTATAATCCTAGCTACTCAGGAGGCTGAGATTGAGGATCACAGTTCAAAGCCTGCCCAGGCAGGAAAGTCAGTGAGATTCTTATCTCCAATTAACCACCAGAAAACCGGAAATGGCACCACGGCTCAATTGGTAAAGTGATAGTCTTGAGCTGAAAAGCTAAAGGGCAGCACCCAAGACAGAGGAGAAAGCCCCACAACCGACAAAAAAAAACCAAAACCCAAAACACACACAGACACACACACACACAGACACACACAGACACACACACACAGACACACACACACACAGACACACACACACACACACACAAACACACACACACACACACGGAATGGTGGCTCAAGTGATAGAGCACTAGCCTTGACCAAAAACCCCCAGGGACAACAACCAGGGCCTGAGGTTAAGTCACAGGACCAGCTGGCTTATACCCTGCACACATACACACTCAAAACACACACACACACACACACACACACACACACAAAAAGCTGTAAGTGGAACTATAACCTAAATGGTAGCATTCCACCCTAGAGCAAAAAAAGTCAATTGATAATACAAGGCCCTGAGTTCAGTATTGACACAGAGAGAGAACCTTTTTTTTTTTTTTGGGGGGGGGGGGTCCGGTCGTGGGGCCTGAACTCTGGGCCTGGGCTCTATCCCTCAGCTCTTCAGCTCAAGGCTAGCGCTCTACCACTTGAGCCACAGTGCCACTTCCGGCTTTTTTTTCCTTTTTGCTTATGTGGTGCTGAGGAATCGAATCCAGGGCTCATGCATGCAAGGCAAAAGAATCGAACCCAGGGCCTCATGGATGCAAGGCAAGTGCTCTACCACTTAGCCACCTTTCCAGCCTTGAAAGGGGGAGAGGGAGTAGGAGGAGAGCACCAGCCCAGAGAATACTAGCCCTCTCTTTTAAGCATGTGAAACACCAATTTGCAACCCAAAATATACTCTAGCAGAACTAAGGTATCAATCTGATTGTGACCTTGTATATTCCAGAACATGGAAAATTAATTTCTGTTGTATATAAACCAACCAAATTATAACACTTTCTTGTATAAACTTGTAGTAAGATGGTGTACTTTCTGAAACCAATCACTATAATATTCACTACTAAATTATCTTGTGTAACAGTATCTTTTAGCAAATAACACTTTATAGTGGTATGTTTATAAAAACATAGAAATCAAGCTGGGAACTAGTGGCTCATTGTCTACAATCCTAGCTATTCAGAAGGCTGATCTGAAGATAGTGGGTTCAAAGCCAGCCCAGTCAGAAAAGTCTGTGAGACTCTTATCTCCAATTAACTACCAAAAGGCTGAAAGTGGAGCTGAGGCTCCACAACACCTAAGCCTTGAGTTCAAGCCCCAGGATCAGCATTAATTTTTTTTTAATTACACAAATCTCTCAATATATTATGTTGCATAATTAAAGCAGTAAGACAAAAGGATTTCTAAAAATAATATGAAATCTAATTGTCAATTATATATTAAACATATTAAAATGTCATATGCATGTATAAATTAATGCTCCTACTTACGTTTCTGTGTCTGATACCAATGATTCATTATTGCACACATCATTGAAGGTGTGAAGTTGATTCTAAGAATAGAAGGAAAAAAAATTATCAACACTTTTCTCAATTTTTCTGTATATGTTTGCATGTGACAAGAAATACTAACCTGCTTACTTCTATAGGTCAAAACAGACCAGATTAAAATTGTAACATAAAAGGCATAAAATTAAACAGTTCTCACTAAGTGCAACGATCACAATAAAAAAAACTAAAATTTATTTCACAAGTAATAATTACACCTTATTACACTAAACACTACAAAAAAAACCCTACAAAAACCTATAAAAAATCCAATGTAGGTAGAATTGTGTCATAAAAGACCAAGTTTCAGGAAAACCTCCCTAGATAAAATCTAACATTTATCTGGCCAGGTGCCAATAGCTCACACTTACAATCTTAGCTACTCTGGAACTGAGATCTGAGGATTTAGGTTCAGAGCCAGCCAGGTCATACAAAACCAAGAGACTCTCATCTCCATTGAACAAGCAAAAAGCCACAAGTGGAGGCATGGCTAAAGTGGTAGAGTGCCAGCTGTGAACTGCTGAGTAAGAACACAGGACCTGAGTTCAAGGCCTACTACCAATAATAATAAAAAATCAACAATTTGAGTAATAGTAAGGATTTTCTTCTAATTCAGGTTTCACAAATATTTGCTGTGAATACAGAGAAGACATACTATTTCCTAATAATTTCAAAGTATCATAGTTTAGGACACAACTAAGTTCTTTTAAATTATTTTTTGGAGGGGATTGCTTGAGCACTAAAACATGGAAAATGAAATCTTTATATTGTATGGATATATATGTATGTGTTTATAAAGTACAATATATGCCTATGTTCTTGTGGGCATATAAATACATATGCATATGTTTTTGTGGGTATATACATACATATATATGTATTTCTACCATAATTGAAATATATATGTACATAAACAGGTTAATAGATATGTGTGTGTGTGTGTGTGTGTGCGCGCGCACCTGTAAGTGATGAAACTGTATTTCAAACACTTAAAATTTGGGTGATTATATTAAAAAAAATTATCTTGGGACTACATGAGGCTACTCGTACCTGGAAAATAGGACTGCTCTGAATTAAGAAGCTTAGCATACAGGTAACTATTTAAAATTATTAGTATAATTTTATATTAGCCACATATTAAAATGATTAATTTTTAATATACCAGGTTAAATTATTACAAGTAAAAAAGAAAAATGGCCCAGCACTAATGACTCATGCCTATAATCCTAACAAAACAACTTGGTATTGGTACAAAAATAGACCCAAAGATCAATGGAACAGATTAGAAGACCCAGAAATAAAATCATACACTTAACAGTTATCTGATATATTTGATAAGGGAGCTAAAGACATACAATGAAAAAAAATTCTTCAATAATTGGTGGGAAAACTGGGCAACCCATATGCAGAAAACTAAAAATGGACCCCTGTTTACAATCATGCACTATTATCAATTTAAAGTGAATCAAAGACCTCAAAGTCAGATCCAAAACTTTGAAACTACTGCAAGAGAGAAGAGGAGAAACGTTATTAACTTACAGGTATAAGTAGTTTAACAGAGTCCCAGGGACACAACAGACAGGAGAGAGACTTGATAAATGGGACTACATCCAAAAGTTTCCACACATCTAAGGACAGTTACTAAACTAGAAAGACAGCCAACCAACTAGGGAAAGATTCCTACCAGCAACATATCAGATAAAGGCCTAATATCAAATAAACACAAGGAACTCAAGAAAATAACCCCAAACCTAATAAACCAATCACTAAATGGGCAAAGGAGTTAAGGAAAGACTTCTCAGAAGAAGAGGTAAGAATTGCAAACAAACACGTGAAGAAATGCTCATCATCCCTGGCCATAAAGGAAATGAAAATCAAAACAACTTTGAGATTTCATCTCATCCCAGTAAGACTGGCCAACACTGTGAATTTGAACAACTAATGTTGGCTGGGATGTGGAGAAAAAAAGAACCCTACTGCATTATTGGTAGGAATGTAAACTAGTACCACCACTTTGGACAGCAGGCTAGAGGTTCCTAAAGAAAACAAACATAGCACAGCCAGGTGCCAGTGGCTCACGCCTATAATCCTAGCCACTCAGGAGGCTGAGATCTCAGGATTGCTGTTCAAAGCCAGGAAAGTCAGGCAGCAAAGTCCGTGAGACTCTTATCTCCAATAAACCACCAGAAAACCCAAAGTGGCACTGTTGCTCAAGTGGTAGAGCCCTACCTTGAGCTGAAGAGCTGAGGGACAGTGCCCAGGCCCACAGTTCAAGTCCCATGACCAAACAAAAAAAAAAAGAAAGAAAAGAAACATAGACCTTCCCTACCAACCAGCAATACCACACCTGTACATCTACCCTGAACATAATAAACCATGATATGATAAAGACAACTGTACATCCATGTTCGTTGCCACACTATTCACAATAGCCAAAGATATGATGCCCACTACAGATGAATGGACCCAAAAAATGTGGTACCTATATACAACGGAATTTTACACAGACATTATACAGAATAAAATAATGTCATTTGCAGGGAAACGGATGTAACTAGAACAAATCATGTTTAAGTGAGGTAGGCCAACCTCAGAGAGAGAAATGGCGCATTGTCTCTCTCATATGCAGAAATTAGACCTCACTGGGATATGGCAAATTATCCAGGATTCACTCACACAGTGAGACCAAAAGAGGATACTCTTATACAAAGGTTCAATGCCTAAATGAATATGAATATAAAATAATATACATACTGAAACAGATATGGAAACAAGAGTTTTTTTTTAAGTTTTGGTGCTTCTTTACCTTATATATGGTATTATTTATCTTATATACTTAAGTGTACATCTTCAGAAGGAATGGGGGGAGGGTACAGAACTCAAGGGAAAAGGGGTGGAAAAGTGTAGCAGTGGAGCTCACTAGACATAGATGAAAGAACTATACAATTCATAGGTGGACATGGGGGAGGGACTGGGAGAAAATGAGGGAACAAAAGACAATGCATGAAAGGAAATGTACTCATTACCTGACTCATGTTAATTGTAATACTTCAGTACATCAACTCTAAAATAACAATAAATTATTAATAATAAAAAATGAACACCAGGTGTAGGAGTGTGATAGAAGGGGTAAAATTGACTGGAATAGTATAAACATGTGTGGAGATGTAACAATAAAACCCTCTCTGTATAACTGATATAAACCAAGAAAAAAGAAAAAAAGAGCCAGGCACTAGTGGCTCAACCTGTAATCCTAGCTACTCAGGAGGCAGACTCTTTATCTCCAATTAACCACTAAAAAGCAGGAAGCGGAACTGTGGTTCAAACAGAACAACAGCATTAAGCAAAACAGAGACCTAGCTTTGAGCAAAACAGAGCCCAGGGACAGTACCTAGGCCCAGGGGAGGGATGAAGAGATGGAGAAGGGGAAGGGAGGAAGAGAGGGAGAGAGAGAAGGGAAGAAGGGAAGAAGATGGGGGGAAGGGAAGAAGGGAGGAAGGGAGGAAGGAGGGAAGAGGGAGGAGAAGGGAGGACAGAGAAGGAGGGAGGACAAAGAAAGAAATATAACTTACTGTTATCTGACTCAATCCAGCCAACCTCATAGTCAAAGTAGGTGACATGAAGTACTTAAATGCAAGATCCAGGCTTTCTTTATCAAAGCACAATGTTGTATCCAATGGTTCTTTCACTGTGCTCCACATTAAATCAGCCATGTTACGAGCTGCACTCTGTCTCAACTCTTGATCAGAGAGCTTGCATAAATACCTAAATAATTAAAAAATAGAAAATACACAAAAATTCACAAAACATTTAAACACCACCTACTAGTTTACCAACATTCCTTTACTTCATACCTCCATAATGTTATACAATAGAACTAGCATACTTAAACATAGTCCCAATTTACACTATTCCTTTCCTTTTGTTTTTAGGTCTGAGACCAGACTCAAACTTAATACTTGACACTTTCACTCACTGGCTGACATTCTACCAACTGAGTCACACCTCCACCCCTCTCTGCTCCACCCCCCCCATTTTTTTTTTTTTTGTCGGTCGTGGGGCTTGAACTCTGGGCCTGGGCGCTGTCCCTCAGCTCTCCAGCTCAAGGTGAGCGCTCTACCACTTGAGCTACAGCGCCACTTCCGGTTTTCTGGTGGTTTATTGGAGATAGGAGTCTCACGGTCTTTCCTGCCCGGGCTGGCTTTGAACCGTGATCCTCAGATCTCAGCCTCCTGAGTAGCTAGGATTACAGGCGTGAGCCACCAGCGCCCGGCTTCCCCCCCCCACATTTAAACTATTTCTAAGTAATATTTAAAGGACTTTGACCTATGGCAATCTTTTCTTTTTTTCCCTAAGAGTCTAACTTGAATGAGCAAGTATAAAGAAACCTCCAGTAAAGCTGTATTACAGTCTGTCATATATACAGTTCGTGTTAATTTCAGCAAACTTCATTATCACAGCACACTTCCTCCCCCTAACTTAACCAAAAATTAGCAATGTATACATTATACATTTTTTTAAACTCTAAAACCTACAAAAATCTGGGGTTAAGTTTATGTGTTTCTCTCAGGTCTTGACTCACAAGTCATTTCTCTGGCTTTATTTAATTGCTTTGTTATTCAACTTTTTGACATTAGTGTTCTTTGTTAGGGTCTATAATATGCTGCAAAATGGTCACCTATTCATTCACTATTATAACCAGAAGCCTATCAAATATTTTATTACTCTTTCCATCAAGAATTATCAATGCACTGGGCACTGGTGGCTCACACCTGTACTTGTAGCTTCTCAGGAGGCTGAGACTTGAGGACTGCAGTTCAAAGCCAGCCCAAGTGAGAAGATCAGATCTTATCTCCAATTAACCACCAGAAAAACCAGAAGTGGCACTGTGGCTCAAGTGGTAGAACCCTAGCCTTGAGCCCAGAATTCAAGTCCCGGGACCGACCAAAAAACAAAACAAAAAAATCAATGCAGGCCAGGTGGCTCATGCCTGTAATACTCACTACTCAAGAGGCAGAGATCTAAGAATTGCTATTTAAAGCTAGCCAGGACAGAAAACTCCAATCAACTAACAAAAACTGAAAGTGGAGGTATGGCTCAAGGTAAGGAATGCCAGCCTAAGATTAAGGGACAGTGCCCAGGCCCTTAGTTCAAACCCTAGTACTGGCACACAGATACATAGACACAAACTTAAATATTAAACATAAACTCATATATGCATAAGAAATGCTACAGACCCAACTGTTAACTAATATAATCTGTGTTTTAAATTTAGTCATATTAAATAATTAGAATAAACATTATAATCTTACCTGATAACATAAGTTCTAAAAGGTATGATGTGCTGCATTACAGCAGGGATATGTAGCCATATTCTAATCTATAAAGAAACAAAGATGGCATTAATGTGTAGTAACTATGGAAAACACCTTGTTCACTAAATCATTCAGTAAACTGCTTCTTCTAAAGCTGTATACATTTTATTATCAAGTGTCAAAGTCTTATCTCCAATTATCCATCAACTGGAAGAGGCCAGGAACCAGTGGCTCACACCTGTAATCCTAGCTACTAAGGAGGCTGAGATCTGAGGATTGTAGTTCAAAGACAGCCCAGGCAAAAAAGTCTGTGAGACTCTTATTTCCAATAAATTACTCTGAGAAAGCTGGAAGTGGGGTTGTGACTCAAGTGATAGAGCACTAGCCTTGAGCAAAAGAAGCTCAGGGACAGTGCTGCCCAAGCTTAGAATTCAAGTTCCAGAATGAGGGGTAGGGATGCTAGAAATATAGCTGTGGCTCAAGTAGTAGAGGGTTAACCTTGAGCAAAAGGGCTCAGGGAAAGCACCTAAGCCTTGAGTTCAAGACCCAGAATCAGCAGCAGCAAAAAAAAAAAAAAAAAAGGTAATGGCTATCTATATCAACTTTACAAATTCACCAATTTAGCCAGGCACTGATCGTGCATGCTTGTAATCCTACTCAGGAGGCGGAGATCTGATAACAGTTCAAAGCCATCCCAGGCAGGAAAAGTCCAGAAAACCCTTATCTCCATCCAATTAACCATCAGAAAACCAGAAGTGGCACTTAGGCTCAACCTGGTGGAGCACTATCCTTGGGCAAGAGTTCAGAGATAGAGCCTAGGGCCCAAGTTCAAGTCCCATGACCACCACCACCAACAACAAAAAGACAGAAAGAAAATTCACCAGGGCTGGGAATGCGGCTCAGTGGTAGAGTGCTCGCCTCACATGCATGAGGCCCTGAGTTCAATTTCTCAGCACCACATACACAGAAAAGACCAGAAGTGGCACTGTGGTTCAAGTGGTAGAGTGCTAGCCTTGAGCAAAAGCAGCTCAGGGGCAACACCCAGGCCCTGAGTTCAAGACCCAGGACAGGCAAAAAGAAAAAAGAAAATTCAAACTTTTATTTAAATTCTCATTTTTGCAATCTTTAAAAAAAATGGCATATTCAATTTTTTCAAATCATGATGCAGGGAAAAATGTTACTGTTCATGCCGACTCTTTAAAATTCTGTGTTTTCTGGATACAAAGTCCATATTAAAATGCTAGACACACTCCCAAGATTAATTCCCAACAATACTTACATTAGACACAACTGTAATAAATGCATGTGCTATAAGAAATGGCAAAGTTTCAGGGGTTCCATATTCAAAGCAATCCTTCATGAGAGAAAGGCCATTTTTCCCACAGAACAAACAGACATACCGAAGCAAATGCAAAGGTACTTCTACATCCTAAAAATTAAAATATATCATTATCATAAAACTTACCAAGAACAACTTTCACTTACTAGCAAACACTAAAAAAAAACTTATCAGACATTAAAAGACTCAAACATCATAGAAATAGAAAACATAAAATTTTACATAAACCTTAAAATGAAAAAAAACACTTACATTCATATCACAGAATGCCCCTAATATGTTACTTTCTTGAGTTGATATATCCTAATTTCAAAAAAAGTAAATAAAATTAGTAAATAACAATATAAATCTAAAAACAATACAATGTTCTAAAATACTGATCTTAAAAAAATGTAATAAACACATTTATCTATAATTACTTTTCCTCAACAGTGATATTGCTAGTTAAAACTAATGTACATCAGCTCTAAGGTATACTTTAAGCAGTCTTCAAAGAAATTTTTCTACAGCATTAGCTACATTATTTTTGTTTTTGTCACGGTTTTTGTTTTACATTGCTTTACACATGCCAGACATTCTCTCATTGAACTCTTTAGAATCCAGCACTCAATTTTACTGTTTGTAGGTCATGGGCTTGAAGTGGTCCTGGGCACTGCCCCTGAGCTCTATGCTCAAGGCTAGTGCTCTACCATTTGGAGACACAATTAGTTACACTTCTAGTTTTCAATTGAGATAAGAGTCTCATGGACTTCCCTGCCCAGCCTGACTATGAACCATGATCCTCAGATCCCAGCCTCATGAGTAACTAGTACTACAAGCCTGAGCCACTGGCACCCAGCTTCCAGCATTCAATTTTTGAGAATCTCATTATGGTAGTCAAGGCTGGCCTTGAACTCAGGATGCTCCTTTCACTTCCAGAATACCAGGATTAGTGCCAGGCACTACTATACCAGACTAACTTTTTTCTCTTAAATGAAAAACAATTGATCCTCTTTTGTAAAATCAGGTAAAACTGAAATATTAAGATTAGCTTAGGAAGCAGAGCTTTGGCTCAAGTGATAGAGCACTAGCCTTGCCCACAAAGGCTCAAGGACAGCACCAAGGCCCTGAGTTCAAGCCCTACCATCAACAACAACAAAAAGATTAGCTTGGTGTTTGTTAGAGCGCTTGCCTAGCATTTTCTATGTTCTGGATTTTGATCCCCACCACAGCAATCAAAGTCAAGCAATCAACCAAGCAATAAGTAAATCAGGTAATCGTTACAAAAATATAGCATGGTTAAGTAATTTTTGAAACTGTACACTGAAATTCTCTAGGAGAATACTTAAGAGTCCCACAACATGCTTTCCATACTCAAGATTTAAACAAAAACCACATTCACACATTGATGATGAGTGTGTAACAGGTATGATGATTTTGGAAAAGCAAATCACATCTAATCAGTATTTAAATGCATACTGTCTCTTTTGGGTATTTTTCCTAAGTGCTAGATAATGATGTTCACTGAAATGATTTATAATCCACCTTAAAGTTAAAACATTTGCTATCCATCAATCTGATTCATGATTAAATTTTATGCAGCCATTTAAAAATGGAAATATTCTTAATTTGGTAACAGATGTGGTAACAATTGCACAACACAAACCGATTAATAATAAATTAAGCTGGGCACTGGTGGCTCATGCCTGTAATCCTAGCTACTAAGGAGGCTGAGATCTGAGGATAATGGGTCAAAGCCAGCCCCGGCAGGAAAATCTGTGAGACTCTTATCTCCAATTAACCACCAGAAAACTGGAAGTGGTGCTGTGGCCATAAAACTTTTATCTCCTGTTAACCACCAAAAAGTTCAGGGACAATGCCTAAGCCCTGAGTTCAAGCCCCAGTACAAGCATGCATGCATGCACGTGCACGCACGCACGCACGCACGCACGCACGCACGCACGCACGCACGCACACACGCACACACTCTCTCACTTAATATAAACTGGCCTTGAACTCACAATCCTGGTGTCTTTACCTCCTAAATGCTGGGATTACATGTGCACACCAACACTAGGATTTGCTGCTTTTCTATCCAACTGATACTTTTTCTTTTGTAATGCAAGTCCAGTTTGTTTAACCCCCAGCATCCTGAATGCTAGGCAAATAGTCTCTCACCCACCTTCATCCCAGCCCATATTCACCCATCTTTACTCTGACTCTCAGAGCTAGACTGTTTTCTTTTTGCCTTTCTCTGTCAAGTGAGTTTCTGTCTTTAGTATCCAATTTTCTTTCCTTTTTTCCTTTCCTCCCTTCCCTTCTTTCTTTCCTTCCTTTTTTAGGTTTATTGAGACAGGTCTACATAGCCCAGATGGCAGTACTTGGGTTTAAAATCAGGTTCTCAAGCTTGTTAAGTGTCAAGTAGCTCTACCACTGCTGCTTCGAACCATACCTACAGCCCTGTTTTTCGCTGATTATGCTTGAGATGGGGTCGTGGGCTTTTCTGCCTAAGCTGGTCTCAAATCTGGATCTTCCTGCCATAGCCTCCTCAGCACTACGATCTCAGGCATGAACCACCAACTATCCCCTGCTTGATGATGCCTCTAGATACAATCCTCAGTAATCCTGAGACACAATTCCTCCCTTCCTTTTGTTCTCACAGCATTGTGTCCATTACAAACTACGGTAACACTACATTATTACTTATGTGCCTGCTTTGCACCAGGTTATGTTCTCTTTCAGGCCAGGGACTGGGTTTCCTTCATATTTGTGTCTGTGGCCTGGCAAGCAATCCAAACTCAATAAATATTTGCTAAAAGAATTAATAATGCCAGTGTCTCACATCTGTAATCCTAGTTACTCAGGAGGCTGAGATCTGAGGATTAAAATTCAAAACCAGTCTGGACAGGAAAGTCCATAGACTCTCATCTTCAATTAACCACCATAAACCGGAAGTGGCGCTGTGGCTCAAGTGGTAGAGTGATTGCCTTAAGCTGAAGAACTCAGGACAGTGCCCAGGCCCAGAGTTCAAGCCCCAGGACCAAAAAAAAAGTAGTATATTGAGTAATTCTACAAAAAAAATTCACCAAGGATATTCATGAAGCTGGGCACCAGTGGCTCATGCCTGTAATCCTAGCTACTCAGGAGGCTGAGATATATGAGGATCGTAGTTCAAAGCTAGCCGGGGCAAGAAAGTCCATGAAACTCTTATCTCCAATAAACCACCAGAAAACTGGAAGTGGCGCTGTAGCTCAAGTGGTAGAACGCTAGCCTTGAGCTGAAGAGCTGAGGGACAAGCACTCAGGCCCAGAGTTCAAGCCCCATGACAGACCAAAAAAAAAGAAAAAAGAATAGATTCATGAACATAGGATTTTTAGTCTTTTTCTATATTATGTAAATAAAATATGAAATACATACTTTTAAGTCAGTGGTACTCAAATTAGCAGTAATAGAAGCATAACTGGAAATAGACTAAAAACCACTAATTTGTCAGACTTTAAAAGGAATTTTTGTCTTTGTTTTAAAGTCTTGCTATGTTAAAAACTATGTTAAAGACTCATCTTCCTTTCTATGCCTCCATCAGAAAGAATGACATTGCCCCATTTGTTAGGAAATGGAAAGGCTTGGAAAAAATTAAGTGAAGTAAGCCAGGCCCAAAGAAACATAGGTCCTGTGATTTCCCTTATTTGCAATATCTAGTATATGTCTGAGTCAAGCAGAAAAGGTCAGATAAGTTGATGTTAGGGAAATGAACC